AAGATGATTGTGATAATTTATTTAGAAAATTCAAATTAATTTTATAATGGTACTATTTTATGATAGTATACACTATAAATATAAGATATAAAAGATATGGATGGATGTTTTCAGAAGAGTGGTCTGAAAAAGTGGTTTTATAATAAGTACCCAACTTTAATAAAATTAACAACATCAGGAAATAGGGAATGGGTCTCATCTTTTCAGAGCATTCCCTGGTCACTTTTCATTTCATTTCATTTATGATATTAATGCTTATTCAGCATTGTCTGGCAGAAATGAAGTCAACCGCATGTATGATTTTAAATTTTTTAATGGGTATGTAAAAAGAATATGTAAAAAGAATTAATATTAATTTGAAAGCACAAATTAATTTTTAACCCCAGTGTGGCCTAAGTATTATTTCACTACATATCAATATAAAATTATATTTTTATTCCTTTTCATTAGTTTTCTACACCGAGTGCGTGTTTGGCACCTCAACACCATTACCAAATCCTCATAAGAAATACTATATCTCAATTTACATTTCATAAAATTTACTGTGAAGAGTAGCTGTATATACACAAGTGGTCAAATATTTGAAAGGTTTCTAATAATATTTGAGGTTTATATGTAATTGAACTCAGAAAGAATTGAAAACTTCCCACCATCGTCACGCTGGCCACATTTCTAACCCTCAGTACCTCCAGTACCTAAAAGTTGCCCTACTGTGTTCAAGGCCTTAGAGACTGGCAGCCAATAAGAGGTCATTTGTCGAGAGAGTACAGGATTTTCCAAATCTCAAAACTACTTTTACATATCAAAAGCAAAAGGAGAGCTGAGTTTTTAAATAAATAATAGAGAAAACACAGGACATAGTGTAAGGAATGATGCTGGTGACCTAGGGGGACAGAAGGACATAATGGCAGCTGTGTGCACTTGGGGGAGCACCCTTGAGTCTGAAACCCAGAGAAGGAAGTGACCCTTGAAGAAAACATCGGAAAGACGTCCCCCTCATATCTGGCTTGAAGCTGTGATAATGCTTGTCTAATTTAGGGAGATGGGTCAGACAGCAGATCACACACTGCCGAGAGAAACCTGCAGCCCATGTCGGGCTACTAGGAAGACGTGCTGGAGATTAGAGGATCTTTGTGGCCTGTGAGCTTAGACAGACTGAGTCAGCATCAAAGTATTAGCAGTGGTTGTTGGTAGGGTCTCTGTGACCCAGTGGGGCATTTACATGGCAGTGGTGGCCAAGGAAGACAGAGAGGGTACTTTGTGCACCAGTCCTTGGTCACTGCTGTAAGCTTACTCCCCCCCTTCAGTCACAAGGTCTTGTAGGCCTCCAACTATGCTGCAGTGCTGACCTGTTAAGAACAAGAAACTAGGGCCAGCCAAATAGCTCAGTGGATTAAAGGGCCTGCAAGCAGGCACAGGGGGTGAGGGTTCAGTGCCCGCCCCCAGGGCACGCTCAGACAGCAGTTGCAACTGGGCATGATGGAATGCCTCTGTAATCCCAGCTGTTGAGAGGCTGTAAACAGGAGGATCACTGTGAGTCTGATCTAGTAGTGAGACCCTGAACACCCTGTAGACCCTTTCCTAAAATAAAAAGTAAAAAAAAAAAAAAAA